AAGATTTAAATGTAAAACCCGAAACTGCAAAACCCCTAGAAGTCGGGGTAGAGACCTCATGACAGGTCTTAGCAATTTCATGGCTGTGATGCCAAAAACATAAGCAATACAATAAAAAATAAACAAGTGGAACCACAACAAACTAAAAAGTTTCTGTACGGCAAATGAAACAATGAAAATAGTGAAAAGACAGCTTACAGAATTGGAGAAAATATTTACAAAGCATATATCTGATAAAGCGTCAATCTTCAAAATACATTGTTTTCATGCAACTCAACAACAAAATCCAAAAACTAAAACGAATGATTTGATTTTAAAATGACCTATATGAAAAACACCCACCATTTCTCTGCCTTGATATTAGGGGCTTCTCTGGATTCCTTTCCCATTGAAGACAGGTGAGTACTGACTACTACAAAGAACACCGACTGTTGGGCAGGAGCTGAGCTTATAAGTCTGAGGCTGTTTGTGGTAAGGAGGTCTGAAGTCCCAAAGGGCAATCGCCTCTCTCCCACATGGACTCCTGAAGCTTCCACTCAGCCTCAAGCCCACTACAGACCTTATGCACTATCTCCTTGCTTCTCTACTTCTTCAAAGAACACCAACTGCTAGGTAGATTTTGAACAGATATGCCTAGATCTTCAGGTCTTTAGCTGGGCAGTGCCCAAAGGCAATCTTTCCACCCCAACTCAGACTCCCAGGAGTTCCCTAAGCAACTACCGCACAGCAGATAGGCAAGTACCACCCACTGTTAGGGGGAAATGATGTCCTGAGTTAATCCCATACAGGCTTTGTGGACCCCACCCCCACTCCAGACTAAAGCCATCAAGACATTGGGAAAGACAAATCCCATCACCACCAAGGGAGGGTGGCTGGGACCTGAGGGTAGAGTTGGGTAGCCAGGTTGGATATAAAAACCAAACACGTGGGCCTTGGGCTCTCTCTGGCTCGCGATCGCTGCCTCCTGGCTTCACCGCTCCTGGCTGGCGGCCAGCTCTCAGAGCGCCATTTTGGGATTCCTGATCGGCGGATTGGGTAGGACTCATTTAAAACTTTGTCTCCCACTTTTCTCCCAGAGCTGTACATTTCCTCATTTCCCCTTCCCTTGTAAATAAACCTTTTATTAACCTTTCACGTGTGCCTGCAGTAGAGCATTGATAAGTCCTTTAAAGCGCGTGGGTGAGGACCCACAGTCAGGCACCCCGTTTTGTATCGGGGTTGCTCTACAACACTACCATAAGGAGCAATGATTGTAGGCAACTAGTTGGCAGATGTGGTGGTGGCGGGGGTGGTTCTTGAGGGGCACCTGTCCCTTCCCTGCCTGCACTTCTGGGGCTTCCAACAGCCCCTAATTTATTACAGGAGGACTAGCACAGTCTCAGAGTTCATGGATTGCTGGGAGGGCACTGAGCTGAGAATACACAGGGCTGTTAGTGGCTAATTCAGCAGTTCCAGGAAGCACTAGGCCTCCCCTACATGGGTTTGACAGCACAACTACATAGTCTGCAGCTTCTTGTGGTAACTGCTTATGACCAAGCTTGATTGGCCACTCTGTTCATTCCCAAGTGTGGACTCCCCGACCCTCCTTATTCTCACGAATACTGCCTTGGTGTCCAGAGTTTCTGCTTGTCAGTTAGGTGTAGGATCATGCAGGGCGCCTCTTAGCAAGGGCAAAATCCTAAAATGAGGAACATACTGGGAAACTAGTACCTGCAGATAAGAGCCGGCAGATATTATAATACAGATAATAGGCTTAGACTGACAGGAATAAAGGAGCTGCCCCAGGCAATAGCCCCTAGTCACTCCATCCTAGTTTACATCCCTAATCCCATCACCCACCCATGTATACTCCCTACGGACTTGCCCCACCTTTGTACTCAATGCTAAAAAAATAGGAGACTGCCTTTGGATCAAAACTGCACATTACTTCCAGTGTAGCCCCTCTAGGCTTCTCATTGCTCCACATGGCCTTTGAGTAATCTTTCCCTCATCCCACACCACTTTCAACACTGTGGCCCGAAAGAGTGACATCAAAGCCTTAGGGAAAAGGCAGGACAGCAAATCCTATTGAGATCACAGTCAGATGGTAACTGAAGGGTCAGGTGGTTTGGGGCTTTCAGGAAAACACGTTGTTAAAGCTACCTTGGTCAGACTTGATTAGATGGTGATTACAGACCCCTCCTCCTATTCAAATAGTTGCAACTGAAGGGGCTTTGACCCTGGCAACCTGTGTCTGTCCCCTGTCCCCATATCTGGCCCACATACTATAAGCTATGTGTCTTTAGACTATCACCCTGCCTTGGCGCTTGAGTTTCAGTCATCCTGATTAGAGAAGCTTCAACTAATACAACAATATAAAAAATAGCATCCAAGACCATCACCCTAAATTCTAAAGGAAGACCTTCATAGAGGACTGAGGAGGAAATCAGTCTAGTTTAAACCACAGAATAATGAGAGAGCATCAAACAGAATGAGGACACAGAGCAATTCTAATCAATGAATCAAGCCAAGCTTTGGAGAAATTCTCGAATACAACAGAATTACTCAAACTACTAGAAGATGAGTTCAGAACAACAGTTTTAATTATGCTTTCAGAAATTAAGAGAACAATGAATGAACAAAACAAGAAATACGAAGACAGAGAAAATAAGAAAAAGCTCCAAATAGAAATAAAGAAAGCAATAGTTAAAAATACAATAGTGGGGTTCACCAGTGGAATCAATGATGTCAAGGAAGGAACAGTGAGACAGAAGATAGGGCAGTGAAAATCAAGCACAAAGAGTAAAGAATTAAGGAAAATGAAAACATTAAAAATCATAGCAAGGAAATGCAATTCAAAATCACATGAGCTATCACCTCCCAACAGTTGAGATGTTCCCCTTCAAAAGATCAGAAACAAGTGTTCATAAGAATATGGAGAAAATGGAATCCTTGTGCACTGGCGGTGGAATATAAATTGGTACAGTCACATGAAAAAGAGTATGGAGATTTACCATTACATAAATGTCAGGATATTACTACACTAACCAGTGCACTGTGTCCCGGGATCTGGGAAATCAGGGGAGCTCTTTCCCTCCCCAGCTTCGGAAGAATTACCCCTTCTTCCTCTCTCCTTTCCTCTTTACCTAAAGTCCTCAAGATTCTCCAAACAAAAACCCAGAAAACAGGGTGCTACTGTTTCCTACCTAGTAATATAATTGTCTCCTAGGCAACGGATCTCGGAGGGTCTGGTTGTTGTTTTCCAAAACAAGTGAAGTGAGAAGTGTGTATGTGTGGGTTGTGGGTATATGTTTGTGGTGGGACATTAGACTGAGAAGGAACAAAGAGAATATATGTTAAAACCTATCCTTTTAATTCAACGAATGTTACTGGTCATCCCATATATGTCATGCACTCCCTAGATTCTAGGACTAAAGAAGTAAACAAAGTCTCTGCCTATCATGTACTCCATATTTTGTCAGAGGCAATTCAAGATGGACAAATAAATAAAATACACTATGTGTCTTTGGGGTGCTATTTAGGGGGGAAAAAAGCAGTGCAAGGGAATAGGTTATACATGCATGTGGCTTGTTACTTGTCATAGGGAGGTTCCAGAATGTGTCTTAGATGATATTTATACTGAAAACTTAAAGGAATGAGGGAAGAAGCATTGTGAAGCATTCCGCCATGGGAGGGAAGAACTTTGCAAGGAGAGGCTATGGCTTGGGTAAGTTTAGTTGTTGGAGGAACATCAAGGCAGAAAGCTGGCCAAGGGGTTGTTTGAAGAGAGAGGAGGTTATGCAGTTGGGGACGGGCAGCCAGTAAGTTATTCTGGTACCATCGTTTACCCTGTGCAAAACTACCCTGCACAAAACCAAAACACCGAACTTTTCACTGAGTTCACGTTCTTCGAGCTATTCATTACTTAGTGGAATCTTTTGTAGGAGTTGCTGTTGTTTAATAGTCAAACTGCTGAACCAGCTAAAAGAGCTTGAATCTGCACAACCTACATGAGAGGTGCAAACATGAAATGGATAAGCACATGCAAGGCTAAACCTTAAAGAAAACCCTGCCCTTTTTGCTTTCAGTGTACCTTCCTTTTCCAATTACAGGTGGGAAGGTGCTTGGGAACATGAGTTCCCCCTTCTTCGTTGCTTGTCCAGCAACAGAGATCTTACTCTGCTTTACCAAACTTGGTTATTATGCCAATTGGCTACTAATCACCAGATGGCAGACCCTCTTGGGGTTAATGACACCTTGACTTTTCTGAGAAGGTTGAGAAGGTTTTTCACGTTTGAGCAGAGGAGTGCTATGGTTGGAGTTCTGTGTTAAAAGGATCCCTCTGGCTGTTATCTCAATGAATCATCCTGCCATGGAAGGACTTTAAGTGACATTTAACTCCAGTGTGCTGCCACAAATTGCCCTTTGGGAGTTTTTCTGGGTTTATTTTTGGGGCACACAGGGATAATGGGAATGAGATCCAGCTGGCGCAGTGTGACGGTTAACTTTTCTCCACTATTGGGGGAGACATCTGTACTCCTGAGAAATCTCTCCAGACACTACAGGTCCCCCCAGAAACGGCAAAATGTGACTGCTTAAAGTCATTATTGAATGCATGTACCATCTACGATAACCTGTTACTGCAAGTGTGAATAGCATGTAACACACTCTCCTTCCATTATCTTCATTCAGTCCTGATCACTTTTTTTGTAGCAAGGGACCTTCTTTGGAAGTCCAGCTGTCAGGGTAACTGTCCTGGATGGAATGTGTTGAATGGCACTTTGCACAGCTGAGTGACCTCCCACCATATAAACAATCACAAGGCCTCCTGGCTCCCAGGTTGGTTATGAAGTCTTGAGATGTTCTGCCCTGCTCACCTCTCAAGGAGATAAAATACGCCAACTTGGTAAAGACACTGCCCCTTGTTCTAGCTGGCTGTCTTGTGAGAAATACTCTCTGACTTTGAAGAAGCTCATGGATACCCTACTTCTGGGGAGAGGTCAGTGTTCCTTCTATTTTCCACTGAAATCTACTGTCAGCAAGAAGCACAAAAGCAGCTCTGTGTATTTCATCTGACTTCTGCCCAATCTAGTCAATCATGTTTAATAAGTCACTTGTTAAAATACACAGAATTGCCTATGGCCTGTTTCTTCCATCGTAAGTGTAGGTTCAAGACACTGGATTATAAAAATACATTTAACTCTGACAGCTGTTGATTTTAACAATGAGATTTTCTGGTTCTCCTGTTGTCTGTCCTTCTAAATAGCTTACCAAAACAGTTTATATTCACACAGAGCAGGATATGAGGATTTCAGCATCAACTGTGTTCTCCTCTTTCCCCCTGTACACACCTTTACATCGCCTTTTTATTGTAGCTGAAAACAGAAGAGTGAGACAGAGAGAGGATGATTAGAACTGTCAGACTTTTAGAGGGGGAAGCACCCTGACAGACTAAAAGGAAAAAATAAATAAGACTTGTTACTGCTATAATTTCACTAAGGTATCTTGTTTTTAGGTTTTTTTTTTCTTTTTCATTTGTTGTTTTGCAAGCTTGGAATTATGGAAGAAAAATAGAATGTCAATAAATTCAACTTTGAACATCTATTCAATGAGTTATTTCCTAGTAGGAGGGGAAAAAAATTGAAGTAGGCTAGGCAGTCTAGAGGGAGACTGTGTAAATGACTTGTAACTAAGAGGATATGACCCTCTGCATAATTCATAATCATTAGTCTAAGTGACACTTCTGCAGTCACTCTGCCAGGACACTCTAATACCGTGGGGCTGCAACCCAAACAGTCCACTCAGCAGCAGTGCCTGTGTGATCAGGTTTCTCTGAAAGACAACTCCCTGAAAGGCTGGATTTGGGCTGCAGGATTTTTTTTTAACAGAAGATGCTGGCTCAGCTTCATCATGTGTGCAATTTAAGGGTTGCTCAAGTGATTCTTTAAAACTGCATAAAAGCAATTCTGCTGTGCCTGGGAGACAGTATTGCTATAATGTTCTGTGCATACATCTGCATGATTTCTCAGAGCTAATTCAAATTTAATGCATTGGTAATTTCTTTTCTGCCGAAGCCACCCAGCAGTAATCTGAAGGTTATAGAATGATCTTCCAGCTCAAATAACACTTTTAGACTAGCATAAATGGAGAGGCAGGAATATAATGGGCAGAATTAGGCCTACAATGATACATTCCACCCTCATTACTACCCTCACTGAGGTTGACCAGAGTTTAGTGTGTTTTTAGAAGGATAATCATTACAGAGGTTTAATAAAACTGAGAGTCAAGCTATAGTGGTCTTTTATCAGAGATGGTGTAATAATCAAAATAACACATATGAACAACTTAGAAAACGTTTTTCCAACAACTGAAAGACCATTCTTTGGATAAAATTAAAGCTTTGTTTAAAACATAAGAACCAACTCAAAAACAGAGAATAACAATTTAGCTGGATGTCATAAACATACTGATATCTAATTTAAGTCCATAACAACAATAGTAAGAGTACTAGGGGATATTTAAATATTTTTAATAAATATTTGTGTTTTATAATAAAATTTGAATTTACAAAGAAATTGTGAATATAGTAGAGTTCCCCTAGGCTCCACACCAGTTCCCTGATCATTAAAATTTTAAATCACTAATATACATTGGTCACAGTGGATGAACCATTAGTAATACATTATTACAAATTAAATGCCACACTTTATTCAGATTGCCTTAGTGTTTACCTATGTCCTTTTTTCTGTTTAAGGATTTCCATCTAGACTATCACATAATATTTAGCTGTCATGTCTCCTTAGTTTCCTTTTGCCTATGAGAGTTTCTTCGATTTCCCTTGCTTTTTATGACCTTGGCAGCGTTGAGGAGTATTGGTCAGGATCTGTAGAATGTTCCTGTCTGATGTCTTTCTCATATTAGATTAGGCTTATGAGTTTTCCAAAGACCACAGGACAACAAGTACCTTTCTTATCACATAATATCAAGGGTACATGCTAATAACATGACATCCCTGCTGATGTTAACTTTGACAACTTGGCTGAGGCACTGTTTGCCAAGTTAGTCTTTGTCCGCCTTTCTATACTGTATCTTTTGGAGAGAGATCACTCTGTACAGTGCACATTTAAGGAATGGGGGGCTATGCTCCACTGCCTTGAGGGTAGAGGAGTATCTACCTGAATTATTTGGAATTATTCACAGGAGATGTCTATTCTCCTTCATTTATTTATTATATTATTTATATTAATTATATATTAATGGTCTTTTTATTTTGAGTTATAACCAAATATTATTTTATCTCACTGATCAAATTGGATCACTTGGGCCACTAGGAACTTTTTTAGTGGACCTCTCTGTTCCTTAACATGTCACCATCATTGTAAGTTAGGACTTTTTAAGCTCTTTTTTCCTTTTGGCATTTTCTTAATTTCTGTCATTACAAGATATTCCAGTCTCATCCATATTTCCTATTCAGGTCCTAGACTTGGTTATTTTTTTTTAAAGCCTGGTTCCTTTTATTGGAGAATGGATTTAGAAAACAAGATCAGGGTGCTAGACATGCTGGTTGCTACTGGGGTATGGCTGTTTCCATGTCCTCTCAGGTGACAGGGTGAGGAAATACAAGTGTGTGGATATAACCTTTGTATAGCTACATATCACTTAATACTTCTATATGTAACCATCCGTGTTTAGATTAGGCTAAACAAAAGTTCCTAGCAAGGTTTCCAATCTATATTCATGGATCATTGTAGATGCCTCTCTTGCTTATCTGTAACCAAGCACTTCAATGATAAAAAATTTGGCTAATTTGGGGTGTTTTCACCATTTCTTTTGTGATCCATATGGCAGAGTTCATATTTCATAGTTTCTCCTATCAGACCCTACTTGTAGAATGTCTTGCCACTTTCTACTCAAGTTATTGGCATTATTCAAAAGCATAACAGGAATGAGCTCCTTGATGATTTCTGAAGTCTACGTCAAGGACTGAATAAGTGTCTTCTACTTACATGTGAAAATGTGATTCCCTCAAGGCTTAAAAAATAGTGAAAGCGATTACACAGCTATTTCTTGCTCTGTGTGGTTAAACAAAAGCATTTGACTTCAAGTGTTCTCAACCTGGTAAACTTCATAGGAATAAAATCACTAAAAGCTGTTCTTCCTGAAACCAAGTATTACTCATTGGCAGATGTTATCTGTTAGTAAAAGGATTGCAACCAGTAAATGCTGGGGATCAAGGTCCTACTTAATACAAAAACCTGACATCATCTGTGTCACTTACAAATCTGGTATTAATTATTTGATAAGCTTGGGGCTGATTTTGTAACACAGACATTTTGTTGTATGAATGGTGAATGTCAAGGATGACTTATTATCCTGAACACATTTAAAAGGAAGGCTAATATGATTTCTTATAGGAAAGACCCAATGGCAGCTGCACCAGAGTCAATTACACTGTTGTGTGGCACTGCACAGACTTATTTTCTTGAGCAGAGAAAAAAGAACAAGGCACATGAATATCTCCATAGAAATGATGTTTAGCCCCTCTGATTTTGGATAACAAATCTAAAGAAAGAAAAACAAAGAGGAAAGGAAGGATTCTTGTTCAGCAATCTGAAAGCAGGGTCGTTTAGTTTCCCTAATGAATTCATGAGAAGATTTAAGTCCACAAAGTAATCCTTTAATAGACTATCAAGTAGAGAGGCTATGGAGAAAGATATCAAGATTATTGTTATTTAACACAGCTGGATTTTCTATCCTAACAAGTGTATAGAGAGAAGTTTCATAATTGAAGTTGTACAATCCATTCTGGGCGTGAGGGGAACACAGACATGTTGAATATAGCTCATCATGGCACAAACAAAACAAAGCAGAAAACCAAACTTCCTGAGACTCACTAGATGATACTGCAGAAGTATTCCCTTAGAGTCCAGTTTAAATTGTGATTGTTTATCTCAAACGGAGGAACAATCTTTGAATTAAATAGAAGGTAAACTGAAGGCAAACATCTGGTCCCTGAGCAGACCTTCCCTGCCAGTTTGCAAAGGCAGAGATTAAAAAAAGGAAATGGTGTCTCTGGCAGAAACAATGCTTTTCTATTCTAATTGATTTGTTCTCTGAAAACTCAAATTGTCCATATCCTCCTTTGATAATTTGCTGACTCTACTGTTACTGAGAGAATGCAGTTTTGTTTCTATTAGAGTCACATATCGCATACACAAAATCCACATAAACAGATGTTTTCAAGGTGGTTTGGGGGTCAACAAAGCAGGTTCTTAACAAAATACAACAAAATGCTTCAAAGGAAATACTGACGTTCAGTGTGACCCGGTGTTAGGATGAAGTCACATACATGCGTGATTATAGAGTGAAATACAGAGGCTTTGGGTTCTGTTATACTTTATAGTTTGGTGCAGTAACTCAGAACTACTCAGATACCTGCACTGGGGACTTGGTGTCCCTTTGGAAACACTATTTTGTCTTTCTTGGTTTCTAATACTACTTCACACAGTGATGACAAAGTAAGGGCCCATATCATTGCTACAGCATCAGGGTGTGATAAATATTTGAATATATGAATGACATAAAATTTAACCTCTGAACACAACTCCCTTTTTCAGTAGTTCAAGTAATGAGGTTGATTAAACAAAAGAAATCAGTATTTTTTGAGAAAGCATTGATAAACATGTTGGTTTCAGCAAGTTTATGTGGCTAAGTATATATGGCAGTGCCTTTCCCACAACTGACACTCCATGAGTGAGAGCTTCCTTCTTAGTCCTTTTAATTCTCTTGAGTAGGTTAATATTAACGTTTGAAGAACTGATTCCCCAACCAAATACTGTTTACTCCATATGCCTCCACACTAAACTAAACTCTTTCCTATTATTTGTAATATATGGTAGTTAAGAATACAGATAAAAAATTAGAGTAAAACAAAGTAAGAAGAACCACAAGATATAACTTAGTCATTTTCCTTTCTATTTTATAATGACTTGACTTTTAAAGACACATTTTAAGTCCTAGAATACTATCAAAATCTATTAGCATGGAATAGAATATTCCTCAGAATCCATGTCCAAATAAGGATAGTTAAATTGTGAAAAAGTACTCAATCACATTCTTTAAAAAAGAAATATACATAAAAAATGACTATATGAAGTTTTCACCTGTGGAGAAAAAGATAACCTTGGCAAACTGTTAATGGAAGGATGAATTGCTAGGGAGACTGACAGAAAGCTATTTACCTAAGATATTAATGTAAATAAGATTATACTTCCAAAAAAGAAAAAAGTCCAGAAAACTACCCAAAAAGCCATCAATCAAATCAATTGTTTAAATGTTTTAATGGGACCTTATTCAGCTACTAAAAATATTGAATTAGATTAGGGTTAGCTGTATAGGTTGCCATGGGATGATCCTGTAGATATGTCATCATCACCCCCTTTTTTGAAACCAAGTATGATGAAATGTATATGATTTATTTTCTTTAAAATTAAATTATTCAAAATATTTTTTTCTTAAAAGAATTTCAAGAAATTATTAATAATATTGTCTTTGGTGACAGACATCAAAGAAAAGAAAGTAGGGTCTTGAAATCTCTTCTTGGAGCTACATGTATAATTTTTGCAATCCATATACTTGGGGGGGTATTTAAAGAACTCAATAAAGTTAATTGGATATTGAGATTATGATCCAATTTTGTGTTTTTTTAATTGTTATTTTCTATTATCTAAAATTTGTAGGACTTGCTGCTTATAATTTGTAACCAAAAGGTCTGAGTTGTCTTCTTAGCTCCATTTTCTTCCTAGATCTCCCGCCTACTCACTAACCTGTCACCTTTTAAATGGGTTATGTATTTTCATCTCTCTGCACAAAATGTCTCTGTTTGGAAAACTTTCCTTCCCTCTTGTGGACCTGGTAAACTCCCCTATTTTATACTAACTCAAATATAAGTTAGTTATAGTCTCAGCATATTTGATATTTAACTTAGTGTCTGCAAATGTTATTTGGAATTTTTTCCTGAGCTCTTCTAAGTATTGTGGCATTATTTTAAAATATACTTACTATTGGGACATACAGGATTTTCTTGTATCAGCTCCTACTGGTTAAGTTTATAACTGTAGCTTTAGTTTGCGTAATAAATCCAGCATTCTGAATTTGATGACACTTAATAACAACAGCTAACAATGCTCACTCATATTCCTGTTGATACCTTACAGTATTATCCAGCTACACCCCAAATTCTCATGTCCATCCTACCCAGCATGAAATCTTTCACTGCATTTAATGCACTGCACATACCAGTTAGAGGTGAGGATTTTTTTTTTTAACTTGCAGAGGAGAGTGTGGCAGCAGAACTAAGGTAGAAGTAATGGAGTGCACTGCATGAGAAATTTACCTTATTATCTGGCAGTAGATTGGTTTACTTACCCTGTACCCACTAGCTTTGTCCCTTGACAATCACCTTCACACTCAGCTGCACTTCAGAGCTTGTTTGCCATGTTGTGATGATGTTTACTCCCTACGTTTATTCGATGTTGGCCATTTGAAAACATTATCATTTAAATTGGTTCCTGTAACTAATGAGCATATGTTTCATGTGTTTCACAGGATGAGGCAGTGGAAGTATCACTTGTATTGAGGTCTATTTTTGTATACAGTCATTTTAGCCAAAGTATAAAGTCAAATTTTCAAGTGTTTCAGTGCTCGGGCTGGTGGTAGATCTCTTCTGGCATGAAGTGATAACAGAATTTTGTGAGGATGACAAAAAAAAGTTGAAACCAAAACTGAGATAATTATACGCTAACTTAAAAGAAATCTTGAGTGCCAAATGCTTAAAACTTGCTTTGGGACATTTTGAATCTACTGAATAAAATAACTATACCCTTCAGACTTGCTGGAGGGAGATTACAAGAATGTCAGATTCCTCTCCACAAGTGACGATTGCCATAGTGGGTTACAATGAATGACAGTGTGTGGAATATACTTATCTGTAATGACTCTGTGGCAGGTGATGCTTGGTACTGAAATCAATCTGATTTACATTCCCCCCTCAATTTTAAGAACATGAAATACTCCACTGAAAGCAAGAGAAACAGAGAGGTAATTAGGAATGAGATGTAGAATCAGAAATGAAATTCTATAGAAGCAGGAAAAAAAAATTGAAGATTAACCACTCAGTATTTCTTCAGCACTCTCTGGAGATGCACACCTTCCTACTTCCCTGAGGTCACAGTCTCTTTTAAGCTCAGTTCAATGTTTTGGATAAGGCTGACTTCTTTCCTGACCAGAGAAGAGCAGGTAACTATGAAGGGTCACATCAGTCAAAATTTTGCATTCTCTAGGTCACAGAGACTGGCTGGGGGAAAGTATGGGAGCAGATTGAATGAGATGCAGGGTATTTGGCACAGACTGTTGAACGAAATGCATGTTCACTTTTTTTTTTCCCCAGACATGAACCTGGGATTGTATAGCTCTGAGAGCCAACAAAGACAAGAGCTGAATCAAAATTAGCAGAAGGATAGGGTCCTGTGTCACTGACCATGAATCAAGTCATAGAACCTAGATCTACTCAGACTTCTTAGTAACATCGCCCAATAAGTCACTTTGTTGCCAACTTGGGTAGCTTGGGTCTTAGGTCACTTACAATGGAAATATTTCTGATGTATGATATAATCATTTAGAGAATGTTTCACCTGAAAATGTATACAATTAGAATGTTATGGTCTTAAAAACACTGAACTGAGTAGATTCTAAGGTTCTTTCCTTTCTAAGGATATCTGAATCTAGAACCCCATCGTTTCATGTTTTATTCCCTTCCTTGATGTTACTGAACTATAGAGGCTAGGCTTTGACTGCATTTACCTGTCTTCATCACTGACTTTTTTTTAAAGATTTATTTATTTTTATACAAGAACCGGGTACAGGCTAGATGCGTGGGATGGTGAGAGGAGTCACCGGAGACAGAGCGGGAACAGGACAGGCGGACTGATGAAATACACTGCTGAGGGGAGCAGCGGGCGAGACAGGAGAGGTCTGCTTCATCATATGGGATTCTCGCTTGTCGGCGGGAATAGAACCCGTGCTGCAGAGGCTGAGTACAGCTTCATAGTGAGGCGCTCAACGCCTGCGCAACCAGGGAGGCCCCATCACTGACTTTTTAAAATATCTTTTCAGTCTTGTATGATATATCCATTACCTATTCATCTGTATATTTAAAATAGCACTTATATTCATTTTCGAAGTGATTGTGACAACAGATTCCTCTTAAGCAAGTATGAGTTTAATGTTTTTAAGAGTGTGATAAGCAAAGAAAATGCTTTTGCTTTCTTATTTGGGCAAAAAAGGCTACAAAAGTTCCAATAGTATTATTGGCATCTCTTCAGCTCTGAATATATATGTGTTATATTTAAGTCATATATTGCCAAATACACATAACTATAAAATACACTAAGCAGAATGTACACTTAATGACAGAACATCATTTGTCATTGTATAATGCAACTTGGCAAGTATTTGCTACAATAAAAGAAATTTAGAAGCTTTAACTTAGGAAATGAATTTTCAATAGTAGCTTCTAAATATTGCTCTAGAGAGATGGCTGTCCTAGATACAGAGACAGTGGTGCATAAGAAACACTACAGAATAGATGTTTGTGTCCTGTCAAAATTCATCTGTTGAAACATAATCCCCATTGTGATGGTATTTGGAGGTAGGATCTTTGAAAGATGAGTAGTTATGAGGGAGGAGAACCCATGCATGGGATTCATGCCCTTATAAAAGTCTCTAGAAAGTTCCCTTACTGCTTCTATCGTATGAGGACACAACAAGAAATTGGCAGTCTACAACCTAGACTTCAAGAATCTCACGAGAACCTGACTGTACAGACACGCTGTTATTGAATATTCAGTCACCAGAACAATGAGAAATAAATTTCTGTTGTTCTTAAGTCACCCAGTCTTTGGTATTCTGTTATAACAGCCAAAAAGGACAAGCACATGATGTACAACTGTGACTAAGACCATAATGCATAATTGTGTTCATAGGTTCTCCGTTTATGCAAGCAAAAAAAGGAAACTACTTGAATGACCATGGCTAAAAGAAATGATAAATAGTAGTTAGTGCATGAAAAGTAATATTATATTGCCGTAAAACAAAATAAAAGAGTTATAGTCAGCAATAAGAATAAATACAGGAAAGAACAGTGAAAGAATTAGCAAGCCCACATACAATATCTTTGTACATATTGGGGTACTATTTCTAGAAAGCTGAAAGGTTACCAAATGAAGTAATATATTGTCTAGGGATACACACATGCACACATGCATGCCAGCAAGTGCACACATGCACACACTAAATTTTTTTTTAAAAAGCAAAGAAATTATAAAACAAAATTCAGGATGGTAGTTATCTGATTTGGGGCATGGTGTTGGAAAGGCATGATGAAGGTACACCAAACATCAGTGATATTAAAAAGGCTCCTGTTTGCTGGTGGCATTGCTATCTTTCTAAAATGCTTTACAGTTTGTACAAAAGATATATACATATCTTTTATGTGCATCAAACACTACATAAAAATATTAAAGATGTCTAGCTAGCAATGCTTATGTACAAACAGTTTTGCTAATATGAATCTAATGGATAAAGCTTTATCTACTGACATTAACATAAATACGTTCTTTGCATTTAGAAATTATTGGCAAAATTCATTTCTACCATAAAAATATGTTAAAATTCAAGATTTAATTTGGGCAGAAATAGATTTTCAAATTCAGAATTATTCTATCTTAAGTGTTTTCCTTCCCTTTTTCTTACACATATCAAAATATGTTGTAAAATGCAGAATGTTGGTATACTACTCGAAAAATTCAGTATCTAAGTTTTCTTTGTAGAGTTAACTGAACTCTAAATTTAACTTGAACAACTTTTTGTTTGTTAAGGGTAATCTTTTGCCCTCCTTTTTCTATGTAAGAAATTATTCTCTTAAGCAGGATATTATGGAAATTAAGAACAAAGGCTCCAAATGAACTAATTCAGGTTTCCAATAAAAGCTGTACCACTTTTTGGCTGTGTGATTTCCTAGCAAGTTACTTAACCTATTTAAATTTAACATTCTTCATCTGTAAAATAAAGTTCATAATAGTTCTTACCTTGCTGAGTTGTGAAGATGAAATGAAACAAATTCTTTGAATGAAAACACATTATCTATAATATACTTGGTCACAGGCTTGGCAGCTGGTAAACATTCAATAGATTTTAATTATTATAATTATTATGTCAGCAAGCATATGTATAGTAGTTAAAACTGGTTTAAAAAATTCTTAAATATCAGCACCTCCGTGGTGGTGCAAGGGGTTAAGCACAGCACTATGAAGCAATCCACAGCCTCAGCAGCATGAATTTGATCCCAGCTGGCCAGGGAGCAACCCACAAGACGAGGCAGACCTCTCCTGTCTTGCCCACTGCTCCCCTCAGCAGTGTATTTCAGTCAGTCTGCCTGTTCTGCTCCCCACTCTGTCTCTGGTGAATCCTTTCACCCCCCGCATCTCTGGCCTGCACCCCAGCTCTTGTATGCATAAATAAATAAATCTTTATAAAAAAATTCTTAAATATCAAAGAAAAAATTCACTTGTTTCTCAAGATTAAGACCTCGAGCATACACTTACATTTGAATTTTAGAAAGTGTTCAAAGAGATCGAAACCACATTGCCCATTGAAGGGTTTCCTGTCTCAGCTTGCAACAATTTCCTTGATGTTAATGGGTGTTCATGCAGGGAGGCAAGAGGCTTGATAAATCTAGTAGCAAACCTATCTACACTTATTTTTAATGATTCAGTACATATGATTGTTATTTCACAATATTTTTTTTTTCTTTTTTTCTCTTGGTTATTCTACTTGTGTATTCCCTAACATTGAACTTTTGAGCTCACTAGTTCTCTCCATTGCTTAAGTTTATCTACAGCTGAAACCCTCTATAGCATATTTTAGATGTAGTATTTCCAATTGTAACTGTCTCACATTGTCTCATCTTTATTCTATTTCTGTTTTACATCATGCATTTTATTTATTTTATTTTTTTGAGTTGAGTAAGCATTGCCATTACTGTTGCCTTGAACTCCTCTTCATGCATATTCTATAGTTCTGCTAGACTGAGATGTCTCAGGGATGCTTTTTTTTTTTTTTGCTACAGCATCTGTAAAATGGTCTTCTGTCTCTTCATTTTCAGAATTTTTTTTTGGTTGTAATAGGGATAGCGTTTTAGATAGTTGCCTTTGCACCTGTTCAAGTGATTTGAGATCCGATACCTGCAATGAGCAACAGGTATAAAGGAAATGAGGCAGTAGGGCACCTAAGGGTCACCTCCAGTAGGTATCAGGGGTTTAAGCTGCCTATTGTACTGTGGGCTCCAGAGTTTGTGCTGGGGACCCACATTGATCCCCTTTGCAGGCTAAGTGTCTCATATAGCTTATGCCAGCTTCAACCTCTAGCCTCTGTTTGGATACTAGATGCAGCTCTGGACACAAACTTGATTGGATTGAGAAAGGTTCACAAGCTGAGAGTTAAGTCTCTTGCAGTACAGGGCCTCACTCTGAAGTGTTTACTCCTGTTGTTAACAGGTACTTAAACTCTGTTTAGTGAGTGTTCAGTTGTTGCCTCAGTTTTATCCTGGTTTGGGGGGGTGCGGTGGCAGGTGTTTTGATTAGCCTAGCCTTGGGCTGCAGATAGGACCATCTTCTAGAAGGAGACTTAGGTGATCCAACTAGGTTCTTCCTGCTGTTTTTAGTTCCAGGTGTTCTGCAGTGGGAGCTTCAAGCTCAAGCCAGTAATCAGCACTCTGCAACCCTGCTCCTAATGTTCTCTAGCAGTGCACCCTCTGTTCTGGACACCAATTCTGTGCACCCCCTTTTCCATAGCAGTGCTAGGTGTCAAGTTCCTGATCTGAGTATGTGCTGAATCAGTAACTGTAGGGGGTTCCATACAGCAGCTGATCCTCCTTCTCATGAACTGTATTCCCCAGTATCACTGTAAACACAGTTCAATGAAAATCATACCCACCCTTTTCTCTGCTGGACCTTTGCTCCTGATGTGCACTGTAGTTGGCCCTTTATATTCTGGGCCTTATTGACTTCATTCTGCTGCAATTTAATTATGAGTGAGTGGAGGAGGTGAGCTGGCATTTTCAGTCTCTCACCATTTGCCTCTATCTCTACAAAAAAAAAAAAAAAAAAAAAAAAAAAAAACCTGAAACAAATAACTGGCTGCAACAAACTATGGGACATTGAAATTCTAGGTTAGATCCTAGTATTTACTATATGAAATTACTAATGAATAAAAATTCACAATTTTATAAACTTAGCATGCATACATATACATCAGAATGTATTTCTTATAACATTGTACACACCCTGTTATCAGCCTCAGCAAACAACTCATAGAATAAAGTATTTAACAGTTAAACATCAAAAAAAAAATGTAATAATAATCTCAGTAGTGAAAAATGATAAATCTCATAACTTAGCAATATCCCATATTTGAAGAAATTCAGTCTTAATTGGGGCATCACATAAAATAAACATGCAAAATAATATTCATTTTATTTCAACATTGCAAATATTTATATAAATTTAATTCATTAATACTATGAAAATTTGCCAACTTCTGTTACCAAATATAGATGTTTTCTCTGCGCTTTGAACACATTGTAATTTTGCAATGGGAACTGTGAGTTATCTCAAATTTGCCTCAGGGAAAAGTGGAACCACTGAATCAGAAACATTTAGTTGTACAAGCAACCAAAT